TCAAACTACATTTCTTTTAGGTCCAGTATCTCGGGCTGAGCCTTAGCTGCTGTGTCTGGCTGGGAACATCCACCTGGTACTATTTACCACTGATAGCAGCCAGAAACYTCACATCTGGCATACTCCCTGACAGGTTCTTCAGGAAGGTTTTACTGTACTACCAAATAAAACTTAAAACAATTGAAGATCTTCTGGGACAAGACAAACCTGCCTGGCAGGAAAGTTGTCTTCTGGTGAGAAAATTAGAGAAAAATAAGTATTAATTATGAGACAACATCAGTGTTTCTCCTTGGGATAGTGAATGAGATTGCCTCTCCCCATATAAAACAACAAACTCCTTTTGGGTACTATGTAAATGTAGTATTACTCCAACTCCTCAAGAGAGCTGGTTTCAATRAAGTCTCAGCTCATACCAAACTAAGAATATCTGGAAGCTCAAAAGATGCCTCATCCGTGTGGTTTTTACTGCTCCCTGTTGAAGCATGCCTAAAGAGGGTAGGGAGGTGTAAGGTGTTGTTGGAGACCGGATGCAGGGGCAGGCAGGCCTTTCATCTCTTCCCTGTGCCACTCCTATGCCTCTGTGGAAATGGGTACACCACCACAAAGGCAGTGGAACTATGGAGATTTGTTGAGTTTCTGTCTCTGCCCAGGCCATAGTTTCCAGGTGGGAATTCCACTCCAGTTCAATGTTCTCCAGGGCTTGGCCCTGTTGCACACACATAGGACTCTCAAAGCTATCTGCATGGGGTTAAGAGGTGTGACATGCGGCCTGCAGGAGATCTCAGCCCTTCTGGAGTGACAGCTAGAGGCAGGATGATCCAGAGCATCTCAGATTGGTTCCAGACCCCTGCACTTAGGGATCTGAGTCCATAGTCAGTACAGTCAATGGAGCAATTCAGTTCTCCTTCCCAGGTGGATTCAGGGACAGTTCCTGAGTTGTCGTTTACCAGTCAGAGCAGAATTGTGGGTTCCCAGGCTTTTCTCAGCTGCTCTTTTTCCCTCTCACACTGCAGTTGTCGCATGCTGCAGAGCTCAAACAGCTTCTGCACCTGCCCCCTGTGATGGATTTTCCTACACCCTGGCACAGTCATCCTTTTACCCTCAGGTCCCTGRGAGACAGCACAAAGATCTCCTCAGAGTTCCACCATTCTTGTCTGGAGGCTGGAGACACCATCACCTCTTTCTTCTGTCTGGAAGGACAAATATCATCCCAGTATCAGGAACACTCATCTTTGTGGTGTATTTCTCAAACTCAGCTGCTCATCAGGGTGGGCACAGGGGTGGGTTGCAGTGTCTGATGTCTGCTCAGCCCTGGGAGTGCGTGGGCTATGAGGCAGAACACACAGGGATGGGTCTGGTGACGCCRCACTTTGTCTCCCTGTTGCTCAGAGATAGAGGAGACTCTCTTATCTTGTGTTTCCACCAGGGACAGAATGACGAATTTAGAGCTAGTGGTGTTCCAGACACTGAGAAGTGGGTAAATGCCCACTGAGAAGTGGGTAAAGAGTGTCCCAAATTAGATGAGAGTAAATCCTGTTCACAGATATAGAGCTACTCTATACACAGTATTTACAAGGAGCAAAAGGGTTTTTAGGATGACAAGACCTGACCAGAGYCCCAGCTATCTCTCTATCCCACCCYATTTTTGAACATTATATCCACACTACATATAAYAAATGTTATAGGACTCAGGAACATRTTTTTCCTCCTGAGGGTGGTTAGACAGGAGCACACAGGCAGTTCTAACATCTAATGAGTTATACTTGGGTCTCTCATCTTATATCCAGATTGCAGATTTTCAGCTCTCACCAGTGACGGGGACAAAGTCACATCCCATCACAAAGTCACAAAGTAACTGTTGTGGGAATGCATGGTACTGGCTGCTGGGCAAGCAGGGACAGCAGGTAAGATATTCTTAGCTGTTCTAGAGGCAGGAGGAAGGTCTCAACACAAACTCCAGGCCCTTGGGTCAGGTGTTTTTCTGTATTCAAAGGCTGCCTGTTCCCTGCCACTAGCTGCAGACCCAGATGTCATACAGCTCTAAGACGCTTGCATTTGAGAAAAAGTGCAGAGGAGTGATGGACATTTCAGAGAAATTTTCTCAGATCCAAAAAGGTTTCATTCAGCTGGTTCTAGGCCAGCAGCAGAGAGTAGTGGGATGCAAGCAGATCTACTGGGGAGAAGGGAGAGCAGGGCATTTAGTAGATAGAAACTGGGCAAATTCCCTGAAAGGGGCTAAAGCAATTGGTGATCCTCCAACCAACAAAATCACCATCTCAGGCAGCACATTTCTTGTTATGTTTTTTTAGAGGTATATCCTAGTTAGAAAGCTTTAGCCTGAGAGCTTGTTTGCCTTGTCGTCTTCCTCCCATTTATTTATTTTCTCTTCTTCACCAAGGTGTAGRTGATGGGGAGAAGGGAAGACAGCAAGCAGATGATCTGTCAGTGCTCACCTGCTTTGGGCACATGTGGAAATCTGGCCTGGTACAGCCCCACCAGACCTGCCTGGAGGTGTTCAGCCAAATGCAACCAGCTCCTGCAACCCATACACCCATCACTGCCAAAAGGAGAGGTGAAACTCAGTTTGGGGTGGAARGGCTGCACAAAGGGAGACTGTGCCWTTCTTCTATCCACGCTGCAGTGCCAAGCAGCCTTTGATTCATGCTCCCAGAAGGTTAAACAGCAGGGCTTGGAAGAGATCAGTAYTGCTGCTGCCATTTTACAGATGGAATAGAGCAAGCAGACCTGGAAGAGCTTCCCAAGATATGCCAAAAATGTCAAAGCACCTGCAGCAAAGAGCTTAGACCAGGCAAGAACCAAGAGGAATTGAATACATGGCCCTTTCATCTTGCATTTTATGTTTCATAGGTTTTAAGGTCAGAAGGGACAAATCCTGTCAACTTGACCTTCTGTAATGGAGAGGTCTGGGAATTTCCTCCAGTGGGACTTGCAGTTTGCAGTTTARTTGAAAGACCTTTTTTGCAAGACAGCCAGTCTCAATTTGAAAACCTCACACAATAGAGAATCCACAACACCTTTTAACATTTTGTCCCAACAACAAATTACTCTCCCTGTCAAGCATGAATTGTTTAAATTGTAGATTTATTTCTTCCTACAAAGCATATTTCAATAACTTGACAGCTGAAGTTCATCTGACCTAAACCCGGATGACTATATTTGGCCAGATGAGTCTCACCTCTCCAGTGAGGCACTATAGGGTGATTCATTGTCTTTGAAATTTAGATATGGATGAGAAAGAAAGAAAAGAAAAATATTTGTATTTGCATAGATCTGCCAGGTGAATAACACCAGAAGTCTCTCAAGGCAGCTAAATTGAAAACGAGCAGAACCACAACTTGCAGCAATTCRAGGGTGTCTGCTGCCAGGGAAAATACCTTTCCCTCCCCACCCTTTAATAACATTTCTAGGGCYCTTGAAACCTGGTGTATCAAACTGTGCTGTGCACTGCCCTCTTTACATGTCTCATATGGACCAGACCCTCCTGGAGGCTGTGTTCTCCCTAGCTCCCATCCACTCATGGTAAGCAATGCCTGCCCTTGCTCTCATGTTGATTGRTCTACTCAGCAGTGTTTGGTGCTTCTGCAACAGCAAAGCCAAAGCTCAGCTGTCCGTGGTTAAGACAAAAAATTTAACCTGAAACTGGTATGACATTCTATTTTCATTTTAGTAAGGGTAAGAACACACACCATTGAGGCATGAGTAAGGTAGGGAGATAGGAAAAGGTGGTTACTACATGCCAAGCAAAAGCAGGAGGAATCTGGTAAGTAATGTAGCAACAACAACAAAACCACAAACAAATGAACAAAAACAAGCAAACAAACAAACAAAAAAAA